AATGGCTTCGTTATTGTTTCCTACATTAATTATCCGTGTGAATATCAAAGGTTGGAAGAAAATACATCCTGCCACGACTATAAATACCACCACATTGTCCGTAATTTTCAGTGCCCGTCATCTACTCGGCAGCGTGCTTAGCAGGAGCTTCAAAATGAACTCAAAAATTCTTTCGGCATTTCTTGTTCTTACGGTGGTTCTGAGCATTGTGGTACAAAGTGATGCGTTTGTTCCTCCACAAACTCTAAATAAGAAAAATGGTTTCAGAAGACAGGCTGCCGATATTGCTGGCTGCAAAAAGGTAAGATTCTGTTTTTCTTGCTAAAAAATCCTCTTTTAATTATAACTTGTAATTCCTAATCTCTAATAATTCAAAACGCCCACTGAAATTCATGTTTTTGAGCCCAGAAGGAGCGGGTAGGTTTGCTGAGTTTATTAAAGAAAACAGTAACCTTAATTTACAATCACCTTATCATGATGAGCGATCTCTGCTTCTCTGCTTCGTTTTCTATATCAATTACATAATCAGTTTGATCAAGGGAACGTTATTCCATTGAAGCTAACCATTTGCTGAAAAGCTCAATTTGTTTCTATGTAGTTGCTTTGTTAACCATTGACTAATATATTAATCCATTTATTTGTGACATTTCATGAAAAGCAACAGGCCGTCATCCAGTCATTCTGTGAGCAAGTGCTTCCCTCTCCACGTGAACGTAAACTCGAGGAAGAATTCGACTTCGAGAAGACTGCGGACTATCATCAGTAATTTCTGACGCCGATACCAGATTGAGAGTCAAGTCCTCCAAAATACTGGGTTATAATATCAGAATAATTATATTAAGCACAAAAATAAACTTGTAGTCGATGTTTGCTTTGGGAAGAATTAAAAAGACGATAAATTAAGTAATTTTCGGAGTTGTTATAATTATTCCCGATAAGTTGGCCTTACCCACCAGTGGGGGAGGGGTGGCTCATTCTCACAAACTTTACTTCAGCCATCTGACCAGTGATATTTCATACAGCACAAAATATGCCATTGTTCATTGATTTCTCTCTCTACTCTTCTGCTCTTATTTACTCCAGTTTATAAGATCTCGGTCGCGATCAGACCCTGAACGTTTTCAAAAGCTCAAGGTCAAATTATCTCTGTTGTTGTTGGCATTAAAAGTCAGTTATTGCAATTTAATAAATATGAGAGCTGCGTTTCCAGAGTTTGGTTAATCCAGCCTTTCATTTTACCTGGGGTGACCTGCTTTAGTTTCTTCTAGCGATAAGGTCAGGTTATTAGGAAGAGAAATTATATCATTTAACGCCAAACGCTTAGTAATTATATTAGAGGAAATGTGTGTGTGTGTGTGTGTGTGTGTGTGTGTGTGTGTGTGAGTGAGAGAGAGAGAGAGAGAGAGAGAGAGAGAGAGAGAGAGAGTGGGTGTGTGTGTGTGTGTGCGTGTGTGTGTGTGTATGTGTGTGTCAGGCGATAAGGACAATTATAGTGGAGATTATGAGAGTGAAAGTCTAAAAGCAAGGTGCACATTTACTGCATTAGCTTATCTGAGGGTTTGCAGCACTAACCGGTCTAAAACAAGCTTAAAACAGCAAAGGAATTTAGCTGTAAGGCGTAAAACTTTTAACCGCTGGTTGTAAAAAGATGTTAGCCGTAAAAATATATCTATTAATCGCAAGGGAAAATGATCAACTGTTAGCCGTAAATGCCCAAACTTTTAACCATTAGCCTCAAGAGCCATCACTCCATTGAGACCCTTGCACCCTTGCAATTCATAAGCTCCGTGACGATGTGGCAGCACGCAGGAGCCATTGATTACCCTTTGCAGAAAGAAAGACTCTGAGTGAAGGTTAATAGAATTATTGTCTCTTTTTTTCGTATGCTTTTGACGATATGGCCTTCTGAGAGATGAGGGAAAGCAAAGGCATGTGGAATTGTGCGCTCTATCCTCTAATGTTCAGGTATCCGATGGTTTTTTTAAGAATTGCACGCTGGTTACTGGGCCAGTGATTTCCTCCCATTGGCGCGGGCTCCATAAGTAGACAGGGGATTAGTTTCTTCGAACTGCGCGGGTTCATAAATTGACAGCGGATTCACGTCTGAGAAAAAAAATGGCGAAAAAAGAGATTGACCTGGGTGAGACCAAAGGGCAAACTGAGCGCGACGAGAGTTTTTGGAACCGGTTTGTTGTTCTGTTGAAGTCGACAGGCAACCGCAATGGCTAGAAATGGTCCACAACGCAAAAAGGAAGCCAAACTATGGAAAGCGTGGCTTAAATGGTGTTATGGAGGAACGAATGCTCAATAAAATCGAACTAGTTGGCCCCGTCGTCGATTCCTACGTGAAGCACATGGGGAATCTGATTTACAGCAAATTAGCAAGGTCAAAGAACACTGGGCTGATGTCTCCAATAACGCTATTTATTCCGTGGCCCATTTTTCGTCATATCTGCGTTTTAGTGGTTGGGTATGGCGGTGACATGAAGACAACTACCCTCAAAATCGTTTTAACGTTGTCCTCTAACAATACTGCTAAAAAAGTGTTTTCGCCAGTTAGGATGAAAGGCACAAACTGTCTCAAGAAACGAGTCTACAAGTCTG